GTGGATTTTTTTCAATGAAAATACTTCTACATTTAAAACATGAACTGCTAAATACTATCATTCTTCACCAAATACTGGATTGTGCATAATTTGATAAATTCTAGATTTTGAAACCAATCTTACTTTACAAGGAAATTAAAATATGAAGTGCCAGTTGCAGACATCTATAAGGAAATAACAGTTTGATAAATAATTTATAAAAGATATAATATATATTACTATGGGTTAATTAGGGATGAAACAATTTTCATCTGAAACCAGAAAAAGCTGCATAACCTTGTAGAGCAGTCTGAGGGAAAAATTCCTGTCATGGTCACCAAGTCTGACTGTCCCTATAAAGCCTTCATTTTTTAGGATGAAAACTGAACCAGATGAATAACAGGCAAGCATTTTTTAGGGAAAATAAATTGTTTACTCTGAAAGGACTTAAGAGAACAAATGATCAAACAAATGATTAAAGAAAATGATTAATTCTTTCAGAAAGGGAAGAATTTTTAAAAATTAAGGAAATTACTCAGGAAAGGAAAAACAAACCAAACATTATTCAAAAGAAATGACCAGGTTTTCCAGAATACACAGATGTGATCTAGAAACCCTTTACCTAACTTTCATTTTAAGGTTTGTGTGATCAAAAGCATGGTTGGTTCTAGCTTTATTGATCAAGTGTTTCTGGATAGCCTAATTCTCTGGTGATCTCATTTGCAGCCAAGCTTTAAAAGACTCATGTCTTTTAAAGACACGTGTCACTCAGTTTGATCTGAGGTATACTGCAGTTGCCAACCTACTGTTTAAATAATATTTCGTTTTATCTAGAATTTTTCTTTTACAAATACAATTCTAAACACATTATTTTAATTTTCACTTGAATAAACTAATAAAAATCTTAGGATCAATTAGTTAACAATCCTGGATTTTTTCCTGTTGTATTAATTTCACTTGAATGAGGTCAGAATTCCTCACTAACAGCCCTGTAACCAAAATCAGGTTTATAAATAAACAACAACTACAAGCTCAACATATGCATGAATTCCAGTGCATAGATCAAGATATCAAGATCACTTTTTTACAGTGGTTAACTTACAGCCATATTACCTAAGCTACCTACCAAAAGCAGTCCCTAAACAGACAGAAGACTTGCAGAGGAAAGAGGAGTAAGTCCTTCTGACCTTCACTAGTGAGGGGATACCAGCTTCCTCTCTGACTGTTAAAAAACCTTCCCAGTACCTCATGTGGTTTCATTCACTTCTTCAACAGAAATAGAGGAGACCAACGAATAAGACTCAGTTGGAAAAAAACAAAAGCAAAACAAACACACCCTGCCCCTGCCCCCCCAAAGCCTCACAAAATCCATTATGATATTAACAGCTAAACTCATTTTTCTTTGTGGCAATGGTAGATATTGCAGCCTGCCCAACTAGGTCATATACAGCAAAGATTATTTGCTCAGACATTTCAGCTGCTTTCACCCCTACTGGTGCAGGAGATGAGAATAAACCTTTACTCACAACCCTCTTGCACCAGACACATTTGAAAAACTCCTCATGTTAGCTTTGGGCTATTCTTTACCAGGGTATAGAACATTTCCAGAATATGTACACACACTGCATGTGCATATTTCTGGGCTCTGGTAATTTCTCTTCACGAAATGGCTTTTAGGTGGTGCTTTCTCTCAATTATTTTCAATGACTTTTTCTTCTTCTCTGACTTTTTCCAGCTTCTCCAGTATCTCCCGAGATAGATTTTTTTTGTCTGATTTCTTCTTTGCTTATGCACTACGAACCTCAAGGGATTTTACTAGCAGTGACTAATAATATAAGCTTGAAACTTTAGCAAATACCACCTACTGCTGAATTATAAAAAGCAAAGGTGTATAGAACAGCAAGAATTCTCTGGCAAAGTTTTAAGCAAATACACAGTCTATGAAGTTCAATTACTTTCCACTGAAAGAAAAATGGGAAGGCTTAAAAATGCTGGGCAATATGAAATCTGCATCATACACATGATAGGACTGCATTTGACTGTCTAAAGTAACAGTAAAAAAAACCCATATTTTCAGAAGTATCCATGCAACACATCAACATGCAAGCTGCATTAGTACCTTTATTGTTTCTGAAAGTAATTTATCTCAGTTTTTGATTTTTGTCTTTCTAAATGTTGTATACCTTACTAAGAAGAAGCCATGGGGCAAATCTGCTTCTCCTCCAAAGTAGACATTGAGCTTATTGTGGAAATTCATATTTCCACATGAAAAAAAATCAATAGCTGTTTTTAAAAGTTATTTGTGAAGGCACCCTGCACAAGATGTTCAAGCCCATCCTACTTTTCCTCACCCTCACACTAACCATCTGCTCTCTAATGCTTCCAAATATTGAAAATGCTCCTTTAGTAACTATAATTTCTAACTAACTTTAGTCATGTCTTTTCTTTCCTAGTGTTCCTGTCCAGGGAAAATCAAAAATTCTTAGGAACAGGATCTCTACTAGACAGGAGTTAAGCATCCCTACCAATCTTTGCTAGACTGGGGGGAAAAAGCTGCAAAACCAAAACAGCCTAACCCAAACCCAGAAATGGAGATCTATGGTGTTAAAGGAGGACCACAGAGCAGTAGGATCTCCAACCTCTGACAGCCCAGTTCAGCCAGCATCTTATCTCATGTATTAAATTTCATCATAATGACAGAATCAGCAAAGCAATGTTACTTTCCACACAGTGATAATCTCACGATGCTCTTATTCTTTGACTGTTACAAATATGAATTCATCTTTACCAACAATAGGGGTAAAAGAAGCAGTTTATTATTCAAGGAGAGTGAATATGATGTAGTCTAAATCTTCATTTTGTTTTCTTTTCAATGGACATGAAAGGGAGAATAAAATGTCCATTTAGATGTACAAATACATTTAAAGATACACTTCTCTCTCTAGAGGCAACAGTGATGCAAAGTATTAATTTGTTCTCCAAAATACTGCAAGTCATAAAAATATCTGCTTGTATCATCTAGGTCTTTCATTCATGGCTCAAGAAATGCAGGTAAATAATCACTGCTGCAGAGTCCCTAGACTTTCCTGAAATCCACTCTTGAGTTATTTGAGGAAAAAAGCTAAACAATAATAAATGAACCCAGATGTTTATTCCTTTTCTGTAAAGAGCTTTTCAGCATTTTAAAATCAGAAACTGACATTCATGAAAAAGATGTATTTAAGACAAGACCACGTATTGGTCTTAAAGCCAAAGAGTTTACTGCTCTCTAGAGTAATTTTTCTTTTATTAGTATTTCTTCCCTCTTTAATTGAATTACACAAAAAAAAAAAAAAGCAACCAAAATTATGAAGACCACCAGCACAGTGAAAAAAAGAAAATGTCTCCCAGGGTTTTCAGTTCTCTTCCCTCAGTGTTCTGGAGTCCAGATGTGGAAAGCCTAGTAGAGCTGAAAACATTTTTGAAGGGTGGAAAGAAAGTTTGGATGCTACTGCTGTAGCCTTATTTTATCCAAACCAGACAATTATCGTTTTTTATGAAGATTAAGAAGCCAAACAACACACAAACCATACCTCTTATATATTGTTACTAAAAATTATTTATAAGTGAGCCTGCTGAAAAAAAATGCTACTCTGCATCTTCTTAGTACTTAGAAGCAAAGAACTTTACAAGGCCTTCTTAACTCAGTAGAATATTTATTGTCTTCATAGTCTTTAAAATCCTGTTTGTCAGGTGTGTCAGTTTATTTTTAAGAGATGTATTTTTCCTGCTCACATATCAAGCAAATACATATTGATTTGCTGCAGCCATACCAGGTCACAGAATATGGAGGAATGTTCCCATATCTTACGCAGCTACACCTGGAATATGGTGTTCAGCTAAGTGATGACAAGGGTGGTCAGTGAGGTGATGATAAAAGTCTATAAATAGCTGAAGAGGGTGAACTCTGAGGAGGGAGAAGCATTGGTTTAAGGTGGACTGAACAAGCCTGACTGGAAGAAACAGAAAGATGCCTTGACAGCCAGGGCCAGGGAGAAGCTGCTAAATAGGATCTCACATACACTATGATTGCCAGCAGAGCAGTCTGGGCTTGGCCTTGTGTACACCACAGACATATAATGAATTTACTATTCCAGATTAATTATTCTGGGAAATTTCCAAGCATATTTAAGCACTTCAACTGCTAAATTTGGCCCCAAGTTCAACAGTCTACCAACAGGAGTCACATGCTGGGTGTATTTAGAACTACACTCGACATCGCACTGGAAACATGTAAGAGGAAATAAATCTGCCCCGAGAGGAAGATGGACACAAACCCTGCAAATCTGTCATACCTCTGTTTTCTGTAGTTCTAGGAAAACATGCATATGGGATTTGGGAAAGGTCTTTTTAATAAGGGTTAATTGGAGAAGTATGTCACACATGACTGAGTACCATTTCAAATTACTGCTCATGCTGGCATAACTAAATTAGACAAATGACAGAATACCAAAATAGGGAATAGTCAATCTTCTTCCCTCCTACTTAATCTTTATATCTTCATTAGTATCAAATATCAGCAATTACAACTTTTCTGGAATTTGTTGCTTCTTTCAAAATATTAGTATGACCACATCATAATTCTCCCCAGAGATCCAATAATTCTGTAAAAATCTTTCTTCTGTTTTCAAATTATCAGTCTAGGCTCTCAAACTGCTGGATTTATCTGGTTTATCTGATGCAAAAGTTCAGGATACATGATATTGATATAACCCTTTCGGAACTTGAAAAAAAAAAATCTGAAAGGGGAAAAATAACCAGTTAGTAAACCAGATTAGTTATTCCCATGAAAATCACTGTACTGTATGTAACACTGTGTTGCCCTAAAAGTCAGGTCCCTAACCCTGAACCCAAAAAAGTCCCTTCAGTTTCTCTCTGCTGTCCAAGTTAATTGCAAGTATTTCCTGACGCTGAGAATGTAGGCAGAAAAAGGAAAAACGTCGACTTGAGAAAAGCACAGCTTCCAATCCCCACCCACCAGCTTCAGTCAAAGGGATGACTTCAGTCTCTTTCTTAACTAATCCTGTCACTGTAAAATCCTACAGTCATTCTTCCAACATAAAGGGAAAACGGACTCACTAGGAGGACCTAGACTCTTTCAGCTTGAACTGTTAACCAATGGTGGAAATGCAAGAATGCTGAAGTTGTGCCTTCAGAGCCAATAGAGTGGATTTGTGTGTCCCACATGACTGTGTTTCCCCTGTCTTTCACATGGGCAGTATTTAGTTCAATTCAGAACTGCAGATAGTATAGCGTGCAGAACAGCAATGGGATGTCTGAGCACAAGTAGCTGACTTCCAGGCGACTTCAGGAAGCAAATTTGTACATTTCTCCTGAATTATCTGGGATTCTGCACCCCTGACATTCTCCAACCCTCCTTTTCGCTGCAGAAGGAGACAGCGACCTGCACAGCACAACGAAACTGTGAGTACGGGCTCTATTTCTTTTTATTTTCACCCAGAAAAGCAAATCTCTTAAAAATGTCAAAATGCTATGTGCCCTAAATCAGTGATTACTTTTCTTATGAGATGAGCAAGTATGTAAAGTGTTATTCAAATTCAGAAATATTTATTGCATGCTTCAATAAAAGAAAGAGAAAAAAAAATAGCAAAAACGACTTATCCTCCAGGGCAGTGCCTGCATGCACGCTGCATGACACAGTGCTTCCTGACATAGCCAGCGTGCTGCTTTGTTCATAAAGAAAAACAAAGACAAAAAGCCCTACACACGTATGTTGTTCACTTTTATTTGTACTCTGTGTCTAATCAGGCCTGATCTGTCCCCAAGGGGAAAACATAAAGGCAAACTTTAACTCCGCCAGCAAGGGCAGCCCAGACTTTGCAGACATCTGACAGTTATTATAATTAGCTATGAAAGACAGCAAAGACACTTTGGGGCAAATAGCTCTTACATTTGGAACAATGAAGTCGAGCAAGGTTCCCATCCCACCCCTTCCACGGGGGGAGGGGGAGAGGCAAGGCAAGGGGGGAGTGTTAGGAAAGGGTTATGGCTGGACTGAAAACACACAACTAGTGTATAATATCTGGACTCGCTCAGCATGAGGAGAGGCTTTTTGATAAGCAACTTTACCTCTAGATTGCAGCTTGCATTCACTCAGATTCCTGATGGGGTGGGAAAGGGTGTGGGTCTCTTTACGGTATAACGTCAGAAGGTCGGTGTGGAGGGGGCAGTGGGGGCGAAGGGGGCAGAAAGAAGAGAATATCCATAGCAGGAGACATTGAAATTGTTTCCCAGAGCTTTACTGGCCAGATCTCCTTAAGCCCAAGTTGCTTTCTGGGCAAGATTTATGAGAGTTCTCAAACAGAAGCAACAGACAAAGCAGCGCTTTTTTTCTTCTTCTTCCTCAGAAAAGAAATTCAACCCAAACGAATAACCGTGTAATAAACAGCACTGATTTGTATTTTTGCTCCGTTTTCCCCCACCACATGCTTGTAAGACCTTTAATAAGGTCTTTCCCCCCTGCCTGCACGATCCTTCCCACCCCCCTTCCCTACCAAAAGTTAGATTCTGAAAACTACAATCGGAAGGGAAAAAGCAAAGACAATAGAAATCTGACTCAGTCCTGGCTGGGCTGGATCTCTAATAATGCATGAAGTGAAAACAGTTTCTAAGTGAAAGATGAGCAGACTTCTTTTTAAAAAAAAAAAATTAAGTGCAATAAGGAGAAATTGTTGAAAGACTCCAGACGCTACTAATTATGGCTTAAATAAATCTTCCTGGACAGATGTTTGCTTGCTCCCACTGCAGGGAAAGGAACGTTAAAAGAAGCATTTTTTAAAAAAGGATTTGACATGAATCTTGTACATATGATTTTTTTTTTTGTAAATACACTGTTTTATTCTTTGTCTGCCCTCCTGTTATCTCCCCCTCCCCCAACCGCCGCCCACTGTGAGCTGAGACACCTGAAGGCTAGACACAATGATCAACAGAGCACTGCGCTCGCCTGTCTGGATTCCAGCCAGATTTTTTTTTTCCCTTCCACAATCAAGGAGCCTGCACGCAATGCACGGCAAGCCCCTTGCTCTGCTATGTGCAGATCAGACAGAAGTCTGAACCGTGCTGCAGAAAAGATTAAAGACAAACACAAGCCTTTCCTCCTTATGTCGGCCAGGCTCAGTTTCAACTTTGTTATGATTTGCAAAAAAAATACAAAATAAGAAACTTTGTAAACATATATACACATTATTGTGCAAAGCATATGCACACGCACACACACTTTCCAACACAGCGTAACTAGGGACATCCAGTGTTTCCTGTTTTACTGTGATTTTTACTCTAGGTTTACAGTCAATGCAGGATTTTATGTGAAGTTCATGCATCACTTACATAATTGCTGTGTAACTCTCAAATATATGTAAAGATTTTCTATGCGCATATGATATATTACATAAAGCCAAGAGGCTACTGTACAGATACCTGTTCCTGAATGCCCATCAAGCTGAAATCTTACAAAATACTTGCGTTTAGAGAATTAGCAAGAGCTCCTAGACAGTTTTATGATAGTTTTAAATGAGGCAGTAGCAAAATGCTTTGTGAATAGGTTGCCTCCAAACCGAGGAAGGGGAGCATGGCAGGGGACTGAGCTGGCCCTGCACGCCCTGGCCTTCCTGGTGCCACAGCCCAAAGAAATGCCGAGTGGCCCCGTGCCATCGTGCCACAAAGTTGGGCTAGAGAATGCAGTACTCCCCAAAATAGTTGCTCTCCATTTGGTGTGGCTATGGGTGGGGTTACCAGAGACATACAGGGGAAAGGCAGATTCAAAGCCTGTATTCTATTTAATTTATAAACATATGCTGTGCAGATCGACCTATTTTCTAAATTCTTTGGAATTTCATTGTCTTGCGGTACAAATTATGGGGTGATAAATACGATGACTAATATTTGCTTTCCAATATGAAATTTGTATGAAAAAGACCTAAAAGAAAACACATTTTAAAATACACAACCACATGCACACATGTACAATGTTATTTTACGCCTGAAAATGCTTAAACTATATTTTAATCACTCTAACAGGTATCCTAAAGGAAAGTGATAAATTTTTTTAGATTTTTTTCTCTGATATTGCTTAGAAACACTATGAAAAAAGAAAGCCAGCATAAGTATCCCATAAATTTAATCTTAAAAAAAAACTTCCTTTCCAAATAGCAGCGGAGACATGCAAACAAAAGATTGCATGTACTGGCAGCAATATCCACAGCAAAGTAAAAATTCCTGAACAGAGATGTCAGAAAAATTAAGTGAATGAATCAAGAGCTGTGGTCAAATTTGTATTCCTGCATTTTATTTCTTTGTAAATAAGGGATTTAATGCTTTTCTAAAGGAACAATTTACACTGCTTATATGAAATATACAATAAACTACACAACGGTTATACAGGAGGAGTATATATTTGTAAATTATATGCATGTACATGTGTTCATAATATTAAGGTGATAATTACCTTTCTATTTTTCCTGGCATATTATGTTTTAAAACACAATTTTTCACTTGTTTTAAAGAATGTGTTTTGAAATAATGCCTGCAGCTAAATTATGAAGTGTTCACTTTCATTTTCTTAAGGTAATGACAAGGCAATCATATTTTTATCCTTTCCTAGAGGCTGAAATCCTATGCAAATCAATTTCTCTAAACTTCAGCAGTGATTTACACACTATTTTGTCTTAGAAGGGTATTTCAGTTGGCAATTTATGCAATGTTTGTCAGTGTAAAAGTAATGTCTAATCACATAAGAGATAAGCATTAAGCTGGAGAATATGAATACAGGGTCCTTGCCTCCATGTTTAGTTCAACACTCTCCCCTTCTCCCACCAAGGTCTCTTGGGTTTTGTGAGTTCTGGTACAAAAACTCTGCCTAGAGCAGGGAGGAGATACCTGACGGTGTTGCTTTAAAAATGGCATTATCCTCTCCTGCTGTTATTGTCCACATACCTGAAATTTGGAGCTTTGTGTTTTAGTTTTTTTACAAGAAGAATTTGTTTACCTTGTGTGAAAATGGCTGTACTCTGTTTTTTTACTGACTTCTTTAAACTTTTTAATAGTTGATGTTGAAATAATGCAATCATGGAAGCTCATGCATATTTATGACTCCATTCCTTGAAAATTTGATATCTATTACAACTTGTCTCTTAGCCTGTGGCCTACATTTGATTGTGCAAATTCCACGGTGCTACTCACACAAACTTCAAGTTCTAATTTCCTTTTTTAAACTCTCCTCTCCTCTCTTCCCCCCATGCTTCCTGTTGCATTTGATTGTTTGAGCCTTTCCTAGTTCAATCAGAAATGTGACTTTTAGTCCTAGGAATAAAGTGCTGAGAATTACATCCAAAACTTTCAAAAGATTGGTGTTTCACTTATGCCTCTACAGAGCTGAGGTAACTTGAGAACCTACCAGAAACACAGACAGTCTCAATAAGGTAACAGGGTCAAAGGAGCTCATGCATTACAGATAGGAAGACAACTGTACATTGCATTTTTATAGATTAAAAACACAGACTGTTTTAATGTAAACATATTTCTGTTTGATATTTTAGCAAACTGTTGCAAAGCTCAAACTAGAGCAAAGTCAAAACTACTTTCAGCATGGTACAGTTAGACCAGATGGCCACGTGTTCTTTTCTTATTTAGATGAGACTTTTCCTTTCAATAACATCTTTCTTCCTGACCTGCTTAAAAATTCCAGCGAATGAAATCAGCACAGGATTTTCAATTCTAATTGACCATGTGCAGAGGAAAGGCCAGTAGAGAAATCAGTAGGACCATTGTAAGGCACACTGCATCAATCTCTCCTTTGTCCTCAATCTTTTCTAGTATGAGCTAAAATAATTAAGTATATTTAATGTATTTTATTTGTACAGCAGCAAATGTAGTAGCATTCAGGCAACTCATAGTGAGTTCCCCTTTTAGAAATGCATGTAACAAGGAAGATGTATGTCTGACACCAGACATGCAGGTACTTGACATCATTTAATAGCCAAATATTAAAAGAAAAATACATGAAACTGGAAACAAACCTCCCAAAACAAACTCAAGGAAAGAATGACCAAAAAGACTGAAAGATGTGGCTGAATTAAATCATGAAGTGCTTGACCTTTTCTAATGAAGGCAGAAGTTTTGAAAGATATGGTACTTAAAAAAATTTTTGAAAAGCACATTTTAGAAGAGTCTGAAAAATCCATTTTTCCACTGTCCATAATATTGACCCTTAAAACATCTGTAATCTTCAAATGTTTCAAATTTACCTGCATTGATTTTACCCACATGCATCCCACCCACACTGCATTGGTTGTGATCAGCCTCAATTGTGTCTGTGTGATCTACATGTGAGGTACAGACTGTAAAAATTGTGTGTATTACACACACAAACATTACCTATAGAAATACACACCCAGAGAACATCATTG